AGGAATCTACAGTAACACCGCATCTGTTCAGTGTTGGTATCTGAGGTCTGCCTCAGCATTGTGTCCTACCAACAAGATTAGAACAGTGAACATCAAATGGAAGCTAAATGTTTGTTCTGTTTGACCTGGCATTAAGGCTCTTTGTGTCTAAAGTTTGCATAACCTCCCGGCGTTCATTTCCTTCTTAGTGTGTGATTGATTATGTCTATGTTTATATGTCCTGTGATGGACTGGCTTGCCACACAGTGTGTGCCCCTTGTTGTCATGCACTGTCCATACTGGCATACAAGTCAGTGTGGAGCTTCACTGGATAGATGGTTATGGGAAATGTTTGGAGATAAATGAATAAGTAATGCTGTAACAGGGTGAGCCTGGGGCAGTATCGATTATAAAGTTTCAAAACTAAAATGTTATAATCAATAGCACAATATGAAGTAAAATATAAGCACTCCTAAGTTGGACCAGCATCCTCTATAGCATCCTACAAATACATTAAATTGAAACGTCCACCTCCAGAATAGACTTAAACCCTCTGGGTGCCATATTCATATGACTAAAGTGAACGGGGAGCACATTATAGATAATTATAGAAAGATATTTTTATCATACCTGCAGGTAGCAGTAATGTCCAGTGACAAGACATTAGCTGGAACAAATACAATTTCTATGTATCTTTTTAAAATTATATATATATATATATATATATATAGACTCGTTAAGACTTAATACACAACTCCTTGTTAGGCCCACCAAAGGAAATGACCATAACAGTCAATGCTGATAGAAATTACACATACTGTAGACAAGCACAGAATATATATACACACACACACACACACACACACAGATACTATATATGTGTATGTACACCCACCCAGCCCCATCTCTGCCTGCACAGTCTGCGCATTGTTGAATCTGTCTTGGTGGAAAGTGGAGGGTGATTTGACTTGTGAAACACGAGATAAATATCTACACACAGATATATAAACTTACTCTTAGAGAGCATCGATCGCCATTATTCCAAATACTAAAAACGAAACTGATAAATAAAATACATTTAAGAAGTGTATGTGTCTAGGTCATTATTTATATAATGCTACAAGATCATATGTTAGCAGGTAGAAAGTTCTTAAATTTAATATGTCATGTCCTTCTACTATCATCTAGGCCAGTGTTTCCCAGTCCGGTCCTTGGGGACCCCCAGACAGTCATTTTCCGTCACACCTGTTAGGGAGCTGGGAGGAAGCAGAAATTTGGACTGTCGGGGGGGTCCCTGAGGATGGGAAGCACTGATCTAGTCAAGTCTTCACGATGTTACCAAGATGCAGCTGAATTCTCAGATCTGATTGGTCAAAATGGTGTTGATTAATCTTCCATAACAACACGTCAGGCAGGTGAATCACAGTAGTAAATCAACAAACGACTATAATAATAATGACTGATACTTTATTGATGTCCATGGGGAAATTCTCTTTGCATCTTCCCCATCTTGTTCTCTGTAGGTGAGAGCAAGCTGGCCACAAAGGGCAGCCACCCATTGCAGGGACCAGGGAGCTGGTGGTTAAGGGCCTTGCTCGAGGAGCCACAGACATGCCGAGGCTGGACTTAAACCAGCGGCCTTCTGATCACAGGCACAGAGGCTTAGCCCACTGAGCTACACACTGCCCCCTAGCTAACGTTACGTAGAATTCCAATTATTATCTGCACCAGCCTTTCCTGAAAATATACACATCCACGATAGATTAACTTTATTCTCCCTCTCTCTCTCTCATACACACACACATTTTATTTCTCTCATCTGCCAAGCATCCAAGTCCAACAAAATACACAGCTAACTGAGAATTTCCCAGTAATTTCTTTAGCAGTAGCTTAGTACTCCACCGGGATGTGGTAATGTCTAGGTATAAAATCTGATTGGTGTATCAGGGCCAACAAAAATGCAATACAATGCAAAGTGAACAGCTGACCTTGAGATTTTAGGTTACTTTAATTAAACCTTTTCCCATGAGTGTCCCACTGTCAGACAGTGCCTGGAGCAACTGGTGGTTAAGGGCCTTGCTCAAGGGCCTAACGGTGACCTCACTCAGCTGACCCTGTGATTCCTTGGCACAGATAGGCCACACATCGCCTCCAGTTGTCCATGTGTCTATATTCAATTTACACACAGGACATTTACACTCAGGTGCATCTATGCATTTATCTCTCAGGAAACCATCTTATTGGAATGGACACTTTGTGACATCTGGTGGATTTAAAATTAGAGTTTTGCTTACAGTGGTGGATCCCAGCAACTGAAATATGGGCAATGGGCCAGGGTGGCATCTTCTGATGGGGGG